CCTTTGCACGTGATTTGTTTTTCTTTTGCTGATTTCAGTATTCTTTGTTTTGTACATTTAGTGTTTTTACTATGATACGTCTTGTGGAGTTTCCTTTCTGATAGGTCCTGTCTGGTGTTGTATATGCTTCTTGTATTTGTATGGGCATGTCTTTCTTTAATTTTGGGAAATTTTCTTCCATGATCCTGTTGAGGGTCTGGTCCATGCCATTATCTTGGGATTCTTCTCCTTCCTGCATGCCTATGATTCTTAAGTTTGGTCTTTTTATGGTGTCACACAATTCGTGCATATTCCATTCTTCTGATTTCTTAAATTTTTCATAATCTTTGCTTGAGTGGTCTAGTTAGTCCCCTTTATCTTCCAGTCTTCATATTCTGTTTTCCATTTTGTTCATCCTATTGGTGAGGTTTTCTCCTGTTGTTTCTAATTGTTTTACTGAGTGTTTCACTTCCTCCTTCATTTTAGCTTGAGGATTCTTCAATATTTCTTGCTCTTTTCTGAATTCATTCAGAAGTTTATCCCTATCTTCCTTCAGTTCTTTGATTTCTTTGTATGTTCTTTAAATTCACTGAATTCTTTTACCATGTTTATAATTGTTCTTTTGAGGTCCATGTCCTGCATTATTTCTAGGGGGTTCTCATTGTACTCCTCTAGAGGACTATTGGTATTTGGTGGGGATATGTTATTTTGGTTTTTCATGTTATTTTTAATCTGCAACTCTGCCATGTGAATTTCTTTCATAGTTTCTGATTCTTGTGTGAGAGTCAAACCTTCAAGCTTAAGTCTGCTTATTTTTGTAAACTTCATGAAAGGCTGGTTTATCTAGGCTTCTGGTTCTCTCTTTTGATTTTATATTGGCGAGGCGGGATTGCTTTTGTCTTCAGGAGTTCCCACAGAGGCCCAAGTCAGATGAGGATCAGATGCTCTCAGGCTTTCTCCTAAGGTCTGGATTCCTTCAGGATAGATTTTGTCCTCAGGAATTTGGGGGTTGGAGTGGCCTGGGAGCCGGGCCCAGGAAAGATGCTGGTCTAGGGCAGCTTGTGGTGGTGCCACCCAGAGATGTGGAGGTGCCACCCAGAGAGGCTCCTGGGGACTGCAGAGAGGAACTGGGTTGGTCTGGATGCAAAGGATCAGGAAGAAGAAAGGTCAGCCACAGCGCCCAGGAAAGAGGCCAGTGGGTAGTGCAGGCCCGGGGAAGTAGAGGGAGGTGAGGGCGGGGCCAGGCCCAGAGTGCTCCTGGGAACCCGAGTAGAAACTGAGTTTGTCTGGATGCAAAGATCAGGAAGCAGTGATGGTTCCCCAGGTGTCTGGGGTGCCAAGACAAGGAATGGGACAGGATCCAGCCTAGGAGAAGAGATGGGCAGGGGAGATGGGAAGGTGAATGAGGCTGGGGGAGTCAAGGCACGGAGGGCACGATCACTTACCCTGGAGAGAGGTCTGTGGATCGTGTAGGCCCAGGGAAGCAGAGGAAGGTGAGGTCTCACTTTTTTTTCTGTCAGTTATTCTACTGTTTAGAATGACTTTCAAGCATTTATACTGACATATTGTCTAATGTTCTTAAGAGGAAGAAGGTGAAATGTGCCTTATGGGAAAAATGCATGTTCGGTAAAGCTTCATTTAGGCATGAGGTTTGAGGTTTGATGCTGTTAGCTGTGAGGTCAATATGAATCAACTAATATATAAATAGAAATACGCAAAGAACAATGTTATGTGTTAATTGACCCATGAAAATATTGTGACTAGAGGCCTAAAGGAACCCAACCATGTATCTCTTCCAGGAGAAATACTTCAATATTTGCTACATCTGTGTTTGTGGTAACTTTGTTGAGTTCAGTTATCACAAATGCTATAAACTAACTGCATCCTGAACATTCCTTGTTAGATCAATTTCAAGTAACCAATAGTGATATAATTTTGAATAATATTTGTTTTTATATTAAATTTCCTTATCTGTGACTCCTAATGATTTTAGAATGCTAATTGAATCTTCCAGCTTTGTCTTTGTATTAGCTGTGTGATGCCTGAAAATTTCACTAGAGATCTTGTAATAAAATTCTGCAAACTAGGTGGCTTAAATAAGGTGACTTGCTGCTTCAAAGATGCTAGAAGCCGAGATCAAGATTTCAATAGAGCCACACTCCCTCAGAAAACTTTAGAAAAATCCTTTAAAAAATTTCCTTTTTCTATCTTTTGGTAGTCAGCCATCCCTGGAATCCCTCGATTGTAAATGCATCACTCTTATCTTTATTGTGGCATTGTGTGTGGTGCTCTTTTTGGGGGTGTGTGAAATTTTGTACTTCTTATCTGACATAATCATGTTGTTTTAGGTAGTCTCATATGATGACCATGGTGATAACTCGATCAGATTAAGGAACAGCTTGAGAACTGATGGATCATTGCTTCTGGTTGGGTCTGTGAGGGTGTTTCCAGAGGAGATTTGGGTGTAAGCTGCTGAATTGAATGGGGAAGATCTGTCCTCGATGTGGGTGAGTGTCATTCAATTGGCTGGTTGAGGTTGGGGTGGAACAAAATGCAAAAAAAAAAGCAAATTCTCTCTACTTCTCCAACAGTGACTCTTGAGTCTACAACTCCAAGTTTTCTGGTCTTTGGCCTCTGAGGTTTGTACCAACAGCTTGCTTGGTTATAAAACCTTTGATCTTTGGCTGAGTTATACCACAGGCCTCTGTGCTTTTGAAACCTTTGGGCTGGGATTGAGCCATGCAGCTGACATTTCAGAGTCTTATGCTTATAGTTGGCCTGTTGTGGTATTGTTTAACCTCCACGCTGGCATGAGCCAAATCCCTTAATAAATTCCCTCTCATAGCTTTAGCTCTGTCTGTACTTTATTGTTTCTGACTATCCAGGGAGCCTTGAATGAAGCCTTAATTTTTATTTGAGCATATCTTCAAAAATCCACTTTTCAATAAGGTCACATTCACAGGTACTTGTGAGGGAATTAGAGCTTCAACACATCTTTTGAGGAAGTACAATTCAACCCATAAGAGCAAGCTACTTAAAACTTCTGTACATCAGTTTCCTCTGTAAAAACAGTAAAGTATCATTATCAAAGGACTATTGTATGAAATTGGTTAATATTACCAGCTAATAATATATGAAAAATACCAGGAACTGTCTGACTCAAATAAGGATTTTATGTATTGATCTGATCTAATTATATTTATCTTGCCATTTTGCTGAATTCTCATTCATTTCAGTAAGTTTTTCTGTACATTCTTTAAATAGATTAAATAAGACCATTGTATAGAAATGCAGTTTTGTGTTTCCTAATTTTTATACATTTTAGTTCACTTATTATTACCATGCTATTATAAGACTTCCAGTAATGCTGAGTAGAAGTTATGGCACTAGGATAGTCAGAGAGAAACTGTAGACTGCTTTGTTTGTACTTTAACTGGGAATTATCCTATAATTTTATCATTAAATATAATGATTGTTACAGGCTTATAATATTATTTCTGAAGAAAATCTATTTCTAGTCATAAATTCAATTGAATTTTTGCAATTTTCATACAATATAATTTGATGGTACTTAGATACCCTCCCCTATCCAAACCTTCCCCACATATAGACACATATAAAATGTACTCTCATATATATACAAAATGTGGCCTATAAAGTCTGATTTGCATCAACAAATGTCCTTCAGCATGGATCCATCCACAGGGTCCATCCATCGAGAGTCCCATCCCTATAAGACACTGTCTTTCCTCCTCTAAGCAGTCATCATTTGCCAAAAGTTCCTTATGTTGTATTGGGATTTCTTACCCACTTACCCGTGTTGAGGCTGGAATTTTGCTGGTTTGAGCTTGCATGGGACTTGTACATGCTGTCACCATTGCTGAGAGTTCATAGGAGTAACTGACCAGCTATCTGTAAGACTGTTTCCTTTACCACCTCTGGCTCTTACAGTCTTTCTGTTTCCTCTTCTGCAATGATCCCTGAGCCTTGGGAGGCAGAGATTTAAAATACATGTCCTATTTAGGGGTAAGCAGTCTGTGACCTCTTGTTCTCTGAACATTGGTCAGTTGTGAGTTTCTATGTTAATAACCATTTGCTGCATAAGCAAACTGCTCTGAGGAGAGTTGAGAGATGCATTCATCCTATGTGTAGAGGTTGCATTGAAGATCTGTCACTTAGGGTTAAATGTCTCACAGACACTTATGCTCTGCATTTGACCAGTTCTGGAACTCTGTAATAGTCTCCATCTGTTGCAAAAAGAAGTTTCTTTGTTGAAGCATGAAACATACATTTGTCTATAAATATGATGATGCATATTTTGAAAAAAGTAAGAAATTATGTTGGTCTAAGGATGTGGCAAAAGTAGGTTTATCTCTATGATCTGTGATTTCTCTAACCACGTGTATTTGGCTAGTTTACAGTGCTGCACATGAGTTCTTTCCCACCGAACAGGCCTTAATCCCAATTAGACAACTGTTGATTACACTCAAGATAAAAGTTCCACTACTGTACAAATAGTGATAGTTTGCTGGTCCAGTCATTGTTTATTAGGCTTCACAGCTGAGTAGGACCATTGATTGGTTTTCTCCTTTGACAGGTTGCATAGTATCCACTGATAACATGAGAGCTAGCCTTCAGCAATTGACTCATCCTACTATAGGGATACTTGCACAGCCATGTCTGTTGCTGTTCTTTTCACAGTAGCTAAGAAATGGAAACAACCTAAGTGTCACTCAACGATGAACGGATAATGAAAATGTGATGCATTTATGCAATGGAGTTCTATCAGTGGTAAAGAAAAATGAAATCATGAAATTTGCAGATGGATCTAGAAACCATTATAGTAAGTGAAGTAGCACAGACTCAGAAAAACAAATGGTGTTTGTTTTCTCTAATTTGTTTATATTGGTTCCAAATCCCTAGATGTGAGTATATACCATGATGTAACTTCAGGAGCCAGGAAAGTGGAAAGGAACCATGGGAATAAAGGAGAAGAAGGAGCTTGAGAGAGGGGGATAGTAGAAGACAGGTGTTATTAAGGGGGAAATGTGGGAAAAGGGGGTACTTTAACTGAGGAGGGAGTATGGCCAGTTATACAGGAGGAGTGCTAGGAGAGATAAATAATGCTTACATGATATAAAAAACCAGGGGGAAATGTATTAGTTCAAAAGCCTCCTGAAAAATGCACATATAGTAAATATTTGAGTGCATGTGTATAGCTGAAGGCTACATAACAAAAAAACTCAGTGCCAGGCAGGAGAAACCTCCCTTTGAGTTGTTGGGCAGGGTAGTCCAAGAGATTTCCCAAATAACACGTGCTATTGCCATAGCCCTTGATTGCCTCCCAGAACTTGAAGGTAAGACCCTATTACTGAAGACAGGCTACATTTTGAACACAGGACTTGGAGCAAATGAACCTGAAATTGAGCTGGAAGTCTCCTCCATGATGACTAGCTCTCATGGTATCAGAGGATACTATGTAAGCTGCCAAAGGGGGAAACCAACCATTTGGTTTACTCAGCTGTAAAGCCTGAAAAACAACAATGACTGGCACAGCAAACTATCATTATTGATGCAGTAATGGCACTTTTATCTTGGGGGATAATCAACAGCTGTCTAATTGGAATTAAGCCCTGCTCAATGGGAGGGAACTCATGTGTGGTACTGTAAATATAGCCAAATACACATGACTGAAGAACTCATAGATCCTAGAAAAAATTCTACACATCCCTAGACCAATGTAACATCTTACAGTATTCTAAATATGCATCCTCATACGTATAGACAAGTATACCTTTCACACCTCAAAGAAGTTTCTTTTGCAAAGATGGAGACTGTTACAGAGTTCCAGAACTGGTTAAATGAAGAGAATAAGTGACTGTGGGATGCTTAACCTTAAGTGACACATCTTCAATGCAACCTCTACATACCGGATGAATGCATGTCTCAACTCTCACCAGAGAAGTTTCCTTATGTAGCAGATGGTGATCAACAGAGAAATTCAGACGTCTTTTAAATTAACTTTGGGGGGAGCATTACTTTTGCTTAATCTGCTGAGAATATTATATGGTTTTATTTCCTTCTTCATATTAAGTTGAAGAGATAGAAATGGAACAGCAAATGAATTTCAGACTGTGGAAACAGAGAAGGAAGCACAAAAGAGCATTGGGATGACTGTTTGCCTTCATTTCTTTGAAAGTATAAAATGGTGGGTGTGGAGAACTAGCTTAAAGTTGATGATAACATAGTACAATCAATAATAGTTAACATTAAAGTAACTCTTGCCACTAAATCCCTCCAAAACCAGAACTAAACGGCATATATTTCATTTCATGGTTTATAAGGTTATTAGTCCATGAACTAAACCAAAGCACCAGGATCAATAAGAAAAAACAAAACAAGACATTGAAATAATGAAGGGAAAGTGTCCCTTACACTTCATTAGCTGTTTTTCTCATTGTTGTGACAAAGTACTTGACTGCAACAACCTAAGGGAGAAAACTTTTATTCTGACACAGAGTTTGAAGGTCTCATCTATTGCCTGTCAGGAAGGTGTGGTAACAGGAGTGTAAAACAGCTGGTCACATTGCTCTGGCAGTCAGGAAGCGGAGAGAGAAGAATGTTGGTGCAGCTCAGCTGGCCTTTCTGCTCCCTTCTCAGTAAAATTCTTTTTCACATTGATTGATTGATTGATTGCGTGCGTGCGTGAGTGCGTGTGTGTGTGTGTGTGTGTGTGTGTGTGTGTGTGTGTGCGTGTGTGCATGCACATGCCACAAGGCATGTGTGTAGGCCAGAGAACATTTGTGACAGTCAGTTTGGTGGGTTCCAGGGATTGAACTCATGCTGTCAGGCTTGGTGGCAAATCCTCTTACCAGCTGAGCCATCTTGCTGTCCCTCTTTTCTCCTCTTTTATTAAGTCGGGGCATTCAGTTTATATTTAGGCTGGGTCTTCCATCCTCAGTTAAATCCCAGTATATTTAACAAATCCTCAGAGACATATACGTGGGGGGATCTCCCAGATGATCCTTAAATCCAGTCAAGTGGACAATGAGGACAAACCATCAAGCACTTTGTCCATGGGATGATGTGATTCCAATTTCATTCTTCATCACGAAGTTGTTCAAAATGGATTGTTGGAATTCAGTCTATGATAGTGCATAGATTCTCTGGTGAGCCAACTGGTCTCCACTGGTTCAGGCTCTTTCTCTGAATCAATTCTTTTTCCTTCTTTCTTGTAATCAAATAAGTTTTATTGTTTTCTGAAAATTTACAGCACTGGGACAAATCGACTTTTGCAGATATGAACTAGGTAAAAACTTGGCTCAAATCCACATAAATCATCCTAAAACCTGTTTGTCCTAAGTGTTTGGAAAACCTACATAAATCATTCTAAAACCTGTTTGTCCCAAGTGTTTGGACAGGCTTTGGGGTGAATCTGTCTCTTTAGATTCGAACTAGGTCCTGGCCTGGCACTCATCTTTTGATTCTATCATCTATGAGTGTAACTTGTTTACACTTTGTGGGCTACAAGATGCAGAGAAGAAGAAAGGAGGTTACAGCAACAGATTAATTTCAGAGTGTCTCTGAAGTGAGAACATCTTGTTGTTGTTTTTTTTTTAAAAAAACTTTGTTACTTCTGAGCTATTAGTCTCAGTTGTTGGCAGCAAAATTATTCCTGACTGAAGGCTCTAAGTGCAAAAACCAGAAGGTAATTTGGGTTTGTATATAGCCCAACTTGGGGCCTCCTTCTGTAAATCCCATTGAAAAAGGGATATTTTTACTTGCTCAGCTACTTGTTTCTCAAGTTCTTAAAGTGACTACCAGGAGTAAGTACCTGGGGAAAGCTGTAAGTGATAGATTCTTCCTCCCTTGTCCCTCCCTTCTTCCACCAATGCACATTCTAGTGTCCAGTGAACACGTAGGAGACAGATGGGTCAACAGTTTTAGTTTCTACTACTTAATGAGTGCTCAATAAATGATGATGATGATTAGTGTGTATATTATGTGTGTGTGCGTGTGTGTGTGGTTATATGCACGTGTGTGGATGAGCAGGCACAGAGGTCAGAGGAAGATGTCTGAAGTACTGCTCTGTCACTTACCTTATTCCCTTGAGACAGTCTCTCGCTGAACCTGGAGCTAGGCTGGCAGCCAGCAGACTCTAGTGATCCTCCTGTCTGTGCTTCTCCCCAAGTGCTGGGATCACAGGACTGAGTGGCTATGCCTGGCTTTTATGTAGGTGGTAGAGATTTTCACGCAAGTACTCATGCTTACACAGCAAGTGCTCTTACCCACTATGACAGCTTCCAAGCCTAGTAAGTGATTATTATTATTATTATTATTTTCGTAATGAGATAAATACAAGTTTGAGTGTCATTTGTTATCATGTTGGGGCGAGCACTGTAAAGGGAAACTTAATCTTGATGCCTTCTTCTTGTGATTAGAGATTAGATTGCATTAATATGGATAAAAATGGATATTTATTATATCCAATTTCTAGTGGCATTCCTGTAGGAACTGTGAAACAAAATCTGCCTGAGTGACTGGATTCAGACAGGATGAAATGCAGCAATAGGCATTTGAAGACTGTATAAAAGGTTAATGGGTTACTATTTAAATAACATATATAAAGATTTTTTCCCCACTTTTGAGGTCTGCTTTCTCTAAATTCACACATAAATTCCTTTTTATAATGGGTAAGCTGCCTTTCTTAGCTGCGTACTGTCATTCCTAAACAATCCTAGAGCTAAAAATTTTAAGTGCTGTCACCTAAAATTGCTAAACAGAACTTACTCTTTAATTTGTCTGTCACTCTTTTTGTCATTTCCTTTGCACTTTATGTTGAGGCATTGGTTCAACTGTCATATCTCAAGTCCTTTAAAGTATAAAGAGAAAGCCCTAATTCACTCTTGTGATGGCCAGAAAGGTCACCTCCAGCTGCCTAGTGTTCATTGACCTAAAACTTTGGGGTAAATCCTGCTGACAAAGTACAAGTTAAATACTGTGTTAGCTTTTCATCACTAAGTGAAATACCTGAGATAGTTAATTTATACAGAGCAAAAGCCCGTTACCGTTTGTGGTTTTGGAGGTTCTGGTTCCTGATCAGTTAGGCCTGGGGTAAGATAATACATTATGATGGGATCACATGGCAGGGCAAAGCCATGTGCTTCAGGATCAGGGAGAAAGAGAGAAAGAAGAACTTCCTGGGCTCCTAAAATCTTCAAGGGCATGCACCAATGACCTAAGGACCTCCCATGGGACCTCACCTCCTACAAGCTTCATCGCCCAAGTAGCATCACCCTGGGGACCAAGCCTTTAACACATGGAGACACTTATTAAAATCATAGCAAGTAGCAAACTCTCTTTCTAGATGGATGGTCTATCAAGTAATAACTGCCACTAAATGACAAAGACTAGAAAAATGAGAAGGAAAGGATGGCGGTAGGTTTAAATTAGTCATCTTCATGCATATTGAGACTCTACTTAACAAATGACCCGAAGTAGCACAATGTCTCAAAGAAGTGAATGGACAGCTGTTACCAAAAGATGTAAAGAACATGTACAATGGGTAGGAGACATCAAAAAGACAAGTCTACTGACTGACTTTCCTCTGTCACGTATTTTCAACACAGGAAAGCATTTGTGGTAGGAATAATTGACCTTGGCCATCAACCCTTTCTCAGTCCCTGAACATGTAGTTTGTGTGGGCAGCTTATTGATTTAGGCATGAGGTGCTATTTGGATTCTGTGTTTATGTTTAATCTGTTACGTTAGAGTCTGCTCAAGGATGTGCTCCTTCATTTGTGGAAGGAGAAAGATGCAACAGAAATATCCTGTAACCTCTCAAGGGATTAAAATAGGGCCCCAGGAAATCAAAGAGTCAATTTCAGTTTAATCCTTCCACTCCTGTTATAAATCCTTTTAAATTACTGCAGAAATTTCTTGGGTGGGATTAGAAGGACAGAAAAACAAATCTCCTAGAATCTAATGGAATAACATTATTCCCCCCCCCCTTTTTTTTTTCCTAAACAGCTCCTATACCTATGGATGGAATGATGTATTAGTTACCTTTCGCCAGTGACCAAACAGTCGATTAAAGCAACTTAAGGAGAGAAAAATGTGTTCTGGTTCAGTTTGAGAATATGCAGTGGCAGGAGTCTGAGGCAGCTGGTCACATTGTTTTCCCAGTTTGGAAGCAGGAGATGGATAATTGCTGGCGCTCAGGTACCTTTTTCCTTTTTATTCAGTCTAGAACTTCAGCCCATAGAATGGTGCTACCAGTTAGGGTGAGTCTTTCTGCCTCAGTTAACCTAATCTAGAAGCTCCCTTACAGATGTGCCCAGAGAGCCTAGGTGATTCTATATCCCATCAAGTTGATAGTGTTCACCATCAGAGGTGGGGACACCACCACCACTTTAAATGTTGCTGTTGCTGTCAGTTCACACACCATGCAGCTCTCCAGCCTGGCAAAGGGGATGCTTACTTTCCTCTTATCTGTATCCTGCCCTGGAATAAGGCCACAAAGCATATTTGATTTGTGCTGTTTCTTACAGAGCCATTAATAACACAGGGCTTTGTTCTATGCAGTCCTGATCACAAAATTCTTTTATCTATGGCTTTTTCTCTGGACCCCAGTGAGGAATTAGGGTCCATCTTGGTATTCTAGATCACGTTGTCTTAAAATTTCTCCTCCATACCCTGCTCCTAAGTAAGCTACTTAGCTTGGCCCTTGGGCCTTCTTGACTCTTTGCCCACACTGCCTGTAAGGATGTGGGGTCCTTGTCTTCTACTTGAAGTCTTCATGATGGAAGATGAGGGGTAAGAGGTTATTGAGGTTTATCTCCAGTCCACTTTCTATGAGTCAAAGAGAGTGCCAGGAAGGATTTTACTGCATGTCTTTATTTAATCTTCACAGTCAGTTGAACTAGATTTAGAATCACCTAGGCTGAGAAGTACCCGGTAACTCTGGGTACTTCTGTGAGGGCATTTCCAGAGGAAGGCCCCCAATGAATGAGGGGCGCTCTGCCATGGATGTGGGTGGCACCATCCTATGGGCTGTTGACCATGACGTGAATACTCCTCTTCTGCCCATTCCTGCTGTCATGATGTATGTAGACGTGAGCTGCTCTGCCTTACCTTCCTCATCATGAGGGACTGAATCCTCTAAAACCAGTAGCTAACATGAACTATTCCTCCCTTAAGTTGCCTATGTCAGTTATCTTGGCTAAAAAGTAATTAATATAGTGCTAATCTCAGATCTCTGACCCAGGACCTGTGCACCAAAAATGGCTGTTAATGTTTTTAGCTTTTCAAATACATTTGACATTTTTTTTGTAACAGGGTCTTCCCATAGCCCCAGCTGGCCTAAAACTCACTGTGTAAACCAGGCTGGCCTTGATCTCACAGAGATTCACTTGCCTCTGCATCCCAAGTGCTGGGACTAAGGGCATGTACCACCACACTAGGCAAATTTGACATTTAAAGTAAAACCATCTTTGAAATAATATTAGAAGTTTGAGGTCAGTTAAATATTTTAAATACTTTATCTACTGGTTCATCATTTTTCTTAGGATGTGGGTGAAGTCTTACAAATGTGAACAAGGTGATTTTTCAGGTCTTTAATGGAACACTAGAGAAGACATGACTGCCTGTTGAAAACTTATTTTCTGGACTACTATGTAAGCACTGATTTTGTTTGTCTTTCTATGGCTTGAGTGTGTCCCCCTCCCCAAATTCCATGTGTAGAGACCTTACTATTTCAATGTGACTGTTGGGAGGCTTCACTTTTGTGTTTGGATCATGGCATCAGACTCCGTCTTTTGGGAATAGGTGAACTATCTAAGGAATTAGACCTCCTTTCTCTCAAACTTGTCTTCTCTCTCCTTTTCTGATTGTTGCATGTTAACAGGCAGCTCGAGACCCTCCCAAGTTGTGAGCCCCTCATCTTGGTCTTCCAAACTGTGGATCCCTGCATCAAGACCCCTTTACTTTATGAATCACAGTGTTGGGTATTGCATTACGATAATTGAAGCAGACCATGTAGAAACTTGTGTAACTACAGATGATCTCTGCTGCTTCGTCATGTTTGCCCCGGGACACAGGAACCCCATCCATTTCTCACTCTCAAGCCTGTGTGAGGAACTAATATTTTTTTCTGACTGGCTTCCTTTCTCTCCTCTCTGAATTTAGTTAAGGTCCATTTTAGGAACTTGTGCCTACAGTTTAAAAAACTACTGACGAGAGGCTCTGCTCTACTATATAATTCACAAGTCAGAACTCTGTGTCCCAGGTGCTTTCTGAGTACCAACAGAGTGCTTTAATTTATACATTGAAGTCTTCATTTTGTTCTTCAACCTTTTGGACTTGTGTGGTACATTTACCAAGTGAGATTCTAAGAGTTCTTATATGGGCATTGTGTGGTGTGGTTTTTAACAGAGAACATTAATAAACTCACACTTAATAACTACACTAAAAGCCACTTCCATCTGGATTTACTGGCAGTAAAAAGAGACATTACAGAACTTTGGGAATTTGATCAAGGCGCCGAATACTAATCTTGGATTACAAGACTGTGGAATCTAGCTGCTCAAACATGGGAAGACAGAGCAATCAAGGACAGGCTTTTGGTAAAAGCACTGCAGTGTGGATTAGTAACTAATGTGCTGAGTGTACTTCATAATAAACTACCTCATAATGGATTGCTTTTGATGGCTGAATTGGCAGTGAGACCTAGCATGGCTTCCTTGACTCAATTCTTCAATGTTCCTTGCTAGATTTATTGGGTTAAACTAAAATGGACCTATTATTATAGAACTATTATTTTAACTTGTTTATAAAGCATAATTAATTTAAAAACATTGATTGATAAAGATTGCAAAAATTAAATGGAAATTGGCAATGACACAAAAAGAAATTATAAAACAAGGTCATTAAAGGCAAACGTGGCATAATCTACTTTGGTGGTAAGTAAGCAGCTTTCAGTAGGAAAAACATTTCAAAACTCAACCAATGCTTTCATCCAAGAGGATGTTGGACGTGAGTGTTGTGTGTTTATTATATGTAGATAACACAGATGACAGTCTAAAAATAGTCATGTGTTTTAGAAATAAGCAGCAAAAACTTACAATTTGCATCAATTCTAAAGGCAGGAATTACAAGTAGACAAGAAGTAAACACTCAGGACATTGAGACAATACCCCATTTGTGATGTTCTCGAGTCTAGTGCTCTCAGCATTTTTTCAGAAATTGAATATAAATCCCAGGAGAATCCCTCAGAACACATGGAGAATGGCAGACCCAAATAGACTATTTCTTAGAAAAGTGAGTTTATCTTCCCAATCTTTGTTTCAACCTTAAGGAAATTGCACTTATTTATGTTTTCATAGGGCATTCCTTTCTCAGAAGGAGGATATTCAAGAGTCATTCTGGAGTTAAGCTAATGTGAGAAATGTGTCCTTTATCATTTGTCTTCAGAGTTCCTTAATCCTTACTCCCAGGTAATAAGAATCTTGCACACATATCGAGGCTTACATGTCACAAAAGCTTTTTGTTTTTAATATTATAATGCTATTCACTATTTTAAAAAGCTCATATAAAATATTACCATATTTTATTAGCATATTTGCATAGAAAAATATGACACTGGCGTCATTGTGGAGAGAATAAAGCCTTGGGTATTCCTCACAAGGGAGCCTCTTGCTCACACACACTATTTCACTTGCCCCTAAAACAACCTTGGGAGCACTTGCAAACTGCAGTTTCTACAAAGCTTCATCCTCACACCTCATCCCCCTCTGCCTTCATCACCACACAGTTGAGAGTCTACTGTATCTCAGCTACTTCAGGGACACGAATGAGTTCCTAACGCTGACCACTGTGAGAGTAAAGACAAAAGATGTAGATGTAAAACACGTAGAAGGGACTGGAGTGTGGAGTGTTTGATTATTAGAAAAAAAATGGAGGACTAAGGAGATAGAGGATGGAAGATGCTGCTGGGTGAAATAGGAAGGTGATGTTGGGGCAAACTTTGAAGGAGGTATCTGCGTAGAGAGCATTCTGGGACAGTGTATGCAACAGTCACGGGGAAATGCAAGGTGGCTGGTAGAGCTGGAGCAGAGTAAAGAGAAAAAAAATAGCATAGACCAAATAGCATAGGCCATTAGAGCAAGGTCTTTGTCCCACCCCCCAAGGGAAGTGGGGAGCCACTATAGGACTTGAGCAGAGGGGTGCCACAATCTCACTTGGGTTTGAAGGGTGTCATCCAGTAGTTGTTTTGAGATGGACTATAAAGGGTAAGATGTGCTGGGAGTCCAGTCAGGAGGCTAAGGCAAGAGTCCAGGAAAGGGGAAAGTAATGTGAAAGTAAGGGGTAGTAGATAAAATGAGGCATGAACAAAACCTCTTAACATGTTCTGAATGCAGAACTAAGAGAAAAAAGTCAGGAGAGAAAGACGTGTGTAAATGACACTGAGGGTTTGGGGCTTTTGGGTGTGTGAGTGGATGAAGCGTGCACAGAAATGACATTCAGCTGCCATAAACTGAAATGAGGTAGGGTCAGGGATCAGGTTTGGGGAAGAGCTTAGGAGTTCCAAGATAGTTTGTATAAAGTTTTCTGTATCTATTAGATACATCTAAGTCAACTGTTGAACAGGCAGGAGGAATTTGAATACGGAGTTTGGGAGACAAATCTGGAGTAGGTCTGTACCTTTGGCAACTGCCACAGTGTTGATGGCATTTGAAGCTCAGAGTTGGGCAAGATGACCAAAGACATGAGCATTAAAAGAGATGATAGATCCAAGGCCCCAGAGCATCTTCGTGCTGTAGTCTTCAAGTACATCATCTTAGGAATCAGTGCAATGGAAATAGTGACAAAATGTTATGAAGGAAACCCTGTGTAGGTCTGAAGTAAGAGAAACCAGGGCAAGCCTCTGGCAGAAGTAATACCTTCAAGGACACTTGAGGGCTAAGGAGCTAGCCTCGAAAAAGGAGAAGTTAAGAGAAGAGAGCCAGGCCAGAAAGGTAGCCCCAACAGGTAACAGAGGACAGGCTGGGGTCCAGGGTGTTTGATGACCAGAATGTGGGTAAGTGAGGGAAGAACTTGGGATGTACGTGGAAGGTAATCTAAATGAGGCAGGAGAGGAAAGGCAGGGACTGTACTAAAAGATTCATGTGAAAACCCAACTTAGGAGCAACCAGAAGCCTTTCAAGATGCTAAGAAGAAAGACT